GGAGCCTGGTGTTCGCTGGTGGCGTGGTTCCTCAGGAGCCATCCCGGCAGGGCCGTCGGGCTGGCGAAGCCTCCGGCTCTGTCTGGGCGGACGATAGCTTGGGTCTGCTGACCAGAGCGTCCAGGCTTCCTGTTTTGTCCCCTTAGCTCAGCATGTGGTGACCTTGTCCTGGAAGAGGGGGTGGGTGGGGGACACAGACAGCCCACGAGCCCTGCCCCAGGTTGGGCACCTCTGTCCAAAGCCTACTGGACATCTGGCTGAGCAAGCATGGCCTTCCAATGAGCCATAGGCGGGCAGCCAGGACCCAGATGCTGACAGCCTATATGTGGGCAGGCAGTTGACCGCTGTGCTGGCCACCAGCCAGTCACCATGGCACTGAGCTCCAGCTGCCCATGTCCTCCCATGGACTAGCACTGCAGTCCCTGAGCTGCCCAGGCTCCAGGCCAGTCGTTGAGGGCACATCCTGGCTGGAGGCTCCTAGTGATGTCGAGCCCTAGAACCAAGTGACTGTCATTCAAGGAATGTTGAAGAGCAACTCTCTGGGCTGGGCTGGGGGTGTGAGTGCACGAGGGTGTGTGTGCACAGGGCTGGGGGTGTGAGGCACGAGGGTGTGAGTGTGTGCACGGGACTGAGGGTGTGTGCACTGCCTGCCCAGTGGAGGGGTGAACAAGAGGCAAGCAAATAAGCAACAGTTTCAGACTCGATGAGGACTGAGAAGGACTCAGGTCCCCTTCAGGGAAGACCCATAAGCAGGGTCTCCGTGAGAAGAGGTACAGAGGCCTCCGTGTGCAGAGGAAACAGAGCTCCTGGCACAGGAAGCAGTACATACGGACAGTCCTTTCTGGCTTGAGGGTCACTGAGGCTGTGGTGTGCCTGGGGTGGGGTGGGAAAGGGAGAGGAGGGGAGCGGTGGGGGGATGGGGGCAGAGCAGTGGTATGTGCAGGTGGGGTGGTCTGAGAGCTGCAGGGGTGGATTACAGAGGTGAAGAGAGCACTGGGTTATGGTCGAAGGGCCACAGGAGCATTGATGGGTCCAGACCCTTGGAGGGACCTGGTTCAGACCCGCCATCACAATGCGTGAGTGAGAGCCCATCTGTCCCTCAGATTTTATCTGCTGCAGAACAGGGACCATTGGTCATAGTTTTTTCATTTGCCCAGAGGTGTGGAAAGGGGTGTCGGGGGTGCTTTCTCTGTGGACCAGAACTGACAAAATGCACAACCTCCCAAACACCATCCCTGTGTGTTCCTGGAGGCCGGGCTGGGGGTGGGGTGGGGCGGGGGTGCCGTGGGGGTGGGGCCATGGTGGCAGAGGCTGAGCAGGGGCTCCCTCGAAGGCCCAGAATCTACCCGTTGGTTTCCGCCCTTCTGGATGTGTCCAGGACCGCCGTCGCTCCGCAGCCCACCTCCACATCATGGACCACCTCGGACTCCTAGTGCCAAAGAATTATCGCGGCTGCAAAATGCCAGCCAGCTCCCTCATGAGATTAGTCGCTTTGCCAGGGGCTAGGGAAGCTTGTTGAGAACTCTGATCCTTGAAAAAAACCTATACATTAAATTTTTATTGACTTTAGTATAAGACGTTTGTAAAAAAATCAATGCTTTCATATTCAATCTCTTCCTTGCTGCCCCCCCCCCGCCCCCGTGAGCTGGATAAATTCAGCCCTTCCTCCTCCTAATACCAGAAGATTCCCGGGAGGGAGGGCTGGGACTTTCTGTCTGGGTAGGCACTTCCTGTTGTCCAAATTACAAAATCAAGACGACGACAGCCCTGACCCAGGTTAGGGGATTGAGAGCCTGTCTCCTCATTTCCCCAAATGAAGTCTTGTTTCATGGGCTGGTGGAGTGTCCCCTCTGGCCTCTCGGGGTCCTCTGTTTTCCTGAGGCAGCACGAATGGAGAAGGAGCTCGTTCCTTTTCTGCTGGGAGGAGGTGGGTGCTGGTGAAACAGGAAGCTTTGCTTTTCAGTGTCTGCCCCCGGGGTCCCCATGGTCACTGACCCAGAGAACTTGAGCGTGGCTGAGAACCTGGATGTAAATATCTTCTATGTGACCACGAGATGGGCTCCAAGAGCAGGTGTCAGAGCTGCCCCTACCCCGGAATGGCCCGTGCAGCATCACTGCTGGTGTCCCTTGGCCAGGACGAGCAACCTTCGGAAGCCTGTTACTCCTGGACTCACTTCCCCTGTGCCCTGATGTCTTCTCTGTGGGACACACCGTCCTATGTTGTCTGTGAGACTAGAGTCATGACCTCCTCAGGGCTGCCTCCCAGGAAAGGCCAAGCGCACTCACAGCCTGGTACCTCTGGGGAAGAGGAAATAGTCCAGATGTGTTGCAAATTTGGTTTCCACATCCAGCAGCTGTGATGTCGTGTGCTGGGTTCCGGGGAACACAACAGCAGGCAGGACACATGCAAAGGCAGGGCGGTGGGGTCCCAGCCCTGTGTGGTGGGTTCCCTGATGGGAAGGGAACACGGAAGAGCACTTTGGGGGCAGGAGGGGTCTGTGAGACCTTGGAGTTGGCCTTGCATGAGACAACAACAGTGGCCACACTATTTTCTCAGCTCAATAATCTCAGCTGCTTAGTGCAGCCAATGATGTGGGGGCGGGAGGAGAAACCAGAAGGGGAGGCCAGGAGCGGCCTGCTGCTCCGGAGGCTCTGGGGAGAGTGGCCAGTGCTGGAGGAGCTGAAAGGACAGTGCCCAGCCTGGTGGGCCAGCCTCCTGTCCAGGGGAAAGGGTCTCCCCAGACTGGAGCTGGGTGCTGTGTCCATCTGGACTTTTCCATTCTGCAGTCTTGGCAAAGATGGCTTGAGCCTGAAAGCTCTCCCATCTATTTTTAAATAAATGAACTTCCTGTCTCTTGCATGGAATTCACACCAACTAAGCATTTACCCCCACGACCCTGGTTCCCTGGGTTGCGGGGGTAAAGGGCGATGTTGACCAGGTTGCTGACAACTGGACAATGGTGTGCATGGCACAAAACTGAAAACATGCATGTTCAGTGAGCCATCTCATTAAAAGGACATCTTAAACCAAGGATTTTCAAGCCTTGATATGGGATTCATCTGCCAGAACCTCTGGGAAATGTGTCAGACCTTCCTGGGGTCTCTGCTTGAGACAAGAGAACAGAGGGCTTGGGGGAGGCAAAGGTGTGCCTGCATCCCTAGCAGGCTCCCCTCCAGCTTGGCCAGCAGTGCTCCTGCTGAAGGGGCCTCCCCCAGAAGGCTCTGAAGGCAACTAGTCTCTCCTTAAGGTCTCAGAATGCCAGAGAGCCTGGATGGTGGTCCCATTTCAGCACTCATGTGTTTGCAAAAATGATACCTGGGAATTGCTCCTTCGTCCTCTGTGAACCAAGCTCACCCATGGGCCCACTTCACTGTCACATCAAGCCCTGAGAAGGGCTCCCCCAGGAGGGGACATGCCCCGCTTAGGTGGCACCCCATAGTCTGGGGCTTTTAACAGGATGAGAGCACACAAGGGTTGCTCAGAGGCTAGTGGAGAGAGCCAGCATGGGCAGCCTCTCTCTTTTTGTGATGGAAATGGTCATGCCCCCCGCCTTGAACTGAGGAGGTGGGCTCCCCCTTCATCAGCCTGGGCTCAGCGGGAGTGTGCACACTCAAGGAAACTGCAGCCACCTTAGGGCACACTGGCTGAATGCTGGTGCTTGTAGCTAATGACCAGGCACAGAGGCAGGGTGGTGGAAGTCAGGAGTGTGGCCCCTGGGCCGTACCTGTGTGCACAGGTGTATGTGGGGCATAAGCGGCACTCCATCCTCAACATTCTAGATGATGACTTACAAATTAGACCATTCTGTCTGCAAAAGGCCACATGGCCTCTAACTTTGGAACTAAAGGGCAAACGGCACAGCTGATCCAGCACCATGGACAGGGCTGCTTTATGCGCCAAGTTACTGGGGAGAACAGTGTCTGCTACAAACTGGGCCAATCTTAGTGGACCCCACAGTCCTAGGCAAACGTGGGAAGAGGCTGGATGTGGTCAGGAGAGGCACCTGCAGCCAGCACCGTCCAAGGGAGGCTGCAGAGGGAGGCTTCAGCGAGTGGGGGCAGTGCGAGGAGTGTCCATGTGGAGTGCGCAGAGGCCTCTCCATGACTGAGGAAAGAGTCCTTTGGCTTCCCAGAAGAAGGTTCCAGAATGACATCCCTCACCACACACACACAACCATGGCTCCCTGGCTAGGGGAGGCGACCTCTGCCTACTCCCCCTCAAGAGGACACCCTGCCATCTGTGTCCAGAACCTGCCCTCCTTTGTTCTAGACTATTGGACCAGTGTCCACTCTGGGCTCAGGTCTCTGTCTTGCCCTGGGGGTCATCCTCCCAGGTCCTTTCTGGGGTCTGCAGAGGGAAGTCCAGGCCCCTTGGGGTGAGTCTCTCAGGTCTCACCTCTCTGACCGCCTCTGCCCCTCCCCCTGCTTCAGGGGCCTCTGTTCCTCCCTTCTGGGACTCCTCCAAAGTCCAGTTCAGGCCCTCTCTTAGGAAGTCTCCCCAGATGCCTCCCTCTACACTCAGGGACCTGGGTCTAAGGGGTCCTCATTACTGGCCCACTTAGAGGCCAAGCACATAAGGTCCCAGTGGGCTGGGCCTTAGCAGAGGTTCTACTAAGGGCCGGTGCCCATTCCTACGTCCTGCTCCTAGGTGTCCAGTCCAGAGGTCCAGCTGGTAGGAATCCAGCTGGGGCCAGGCGCTGGCAGAGCTTGGGGATCCAAGGGAGAGCTGGGGGCCGCTCAGGCGCTGCGCTTGTCTTAGCAGGGGGTGGCCAGGGGGCCGGATTTCCCTGGTCAGGGCGCGCGGGGCTGCGGGAAGGGGGGCCCGGCGGGCCCGGGTGGCAAGAGGCCCAGAGCAGCCCGTCCTCTTCATCTGCTCTCTCCTGCGTTCCCTCCCCTCCCCGACGCCGCCGCGGCGTCGCAGGGGTTAATGGGGGCGGGGCGAGGCGGCGGGCGGAGCCAGGTGGCCGCAGCGTCCCCGCGCGCGGCCCGGGCCGGCAGGAGCGCGGAGCCGCTGCCGCTGCCGCCTCGGCCATGCGGCTCCCGGGCCGGGGGCCTGGGCTCGGGCCCGCGCCGCCCCTTGCGCGTCTCCCCCGCTGAGCCCGCGCCCGGCCGGGGCGCCGCCCGGCACCATGGTGCAGAAGTCGCGCAACGGCGGCGTGTACCCCGGCCCGAGCGGGGAGAAGAAGCTCAAGGTGGGCTTCGTGGGATTGGACCCCGGCGCGCCCGACTCCACCCGGGACGGCGCGCTGCTCATCGCCGGCTCCGAGGCTCCCAAGCGCGGCAGCATCCTGAGCAAGCCGCGCGCCGGAGGCGCGGGCGCCGGGAAGCCCCCGAAGCGCAACGCCTTCTACCGCAAGCTGCAGAATTTCCTGTACAACGTGCTGGAGCGGCCGCGCGGCTGGGCGTTCATCTACCACGCCTACGTGTGAGTGCGGCGGCCGGCGGGGCGCAGGGCGCGGGGGCGCGGGGCGCGCGGCGGGCTGGGGGGTGCTGTGCGTCCGAGCGCCTGCGTCGCTCACGCCCGCGCCCGGGTCTGAGTCCGGGGAACCGCGTTCCTTGGCCACAGCGAAGGGCGAAGATGCTAGTGCGGATCGGAAGGAGTTCTGGGGTCCGGGCGTCCCGGCCGGGGTGGGGGCGCCGTCCCCCCACCAGCAGCGGCCTGCTTGGGTTGCATCAGCCCCTCCCCCGCAGCTTGGGGGATGTGCGGCGCCCCAGCCTCTCCTCCTCGGCCCGAGGCCCCTCCCCACGGCCGCTGCGCCGAACAAAGGGCCAGCCGGGAGGGAGGGTGGCGCTGCCAGTCCTGCCACTGTCTCTGGACTCCTCGAGGCCCCCTCGGGTCTGGGCACCCCCCCACACCTCCGCCCCAGGAAGGGAGCAAGGGGTGGGGGCAGGGCCTGGCTTACCAGGCCTCAACCCCCAAGCCTCTCACTCTCCACCAAGGGTGAGCTTCTGGGTTGCAGGAATGGGGGTAGGGGCTGTCCTAATATTACACCCCCACACCCCCAGCGCAGGGCTGGGGGTTGTTGACTGTCTTGACCGCGGTGCCTGCATTCATCTTTGGCCCAAAGTGCATCCCTCACTCTCCCCTCCACCCAGCTCAGCCCGGACCCCTCTGTGCTGCTGCGAGCTGGAGGAGCAGGGAGATGCCCATTCTGGGCTCTGGATGGACGCCCAAGGGGGAGTTCTGTCCTGAGCCCGCCAGGCCTGGCCCTATGCAGGGAACTCCTGGCTCCCTGGGCAGGGGCAGTGGCCTCAGGCCCACACTGTGTGCACAGGAGCGTTCGTGGGTGGCATGTTTGGGCAGGAGTTGCTGTGTGTGGCCTGTGCCATTGGCGTGCAGTCTCTGAGCGGGCCGGCACTCTCCCTCCCATCCCAGCTAGACTGGGGCCGGAACCCGGCCATTTTGTATGAAAGAGGCATTTTGGGATGGGAGTGAGGAACGGATTCTGGGAAACCATCTCCAACCATGTGCCCCCCTGGGATGACAGGGTGTGTGCCCACGGACCTGTGTGTGTGTGCTCTGGACTGACCCTCCATGTGTCCATGGGCTAGGGGAGAAGACCCAGGGGGAAAATGCTTGGCTGCTGTGGGATGGTATCCTGGGGGGAGACCCCAGCCCTGGCAGGTGCCAGCGCTGAGTCACCGTGGGAGGCAGGGGCTTCCCTGGCGCTGTGAGCATCCTCCCCACCCCCTCCCCAGTAGGGCGACTTGGGCCCTTCCCATGTAGGCATGCTCAGGAGTGCTGTTCTTCCTTCGAAGAGCCCTGCGTCTCCTCACCAGTGGCCCTCCTGTCACCACCTCCCTTCCTGCCTGCTGGGACGGGGTCTGGGCAGCCAGGTCCCCCCCACCCTCACCTCCGGTATGAGGTCAGAGCCCACCCCACAGCCCAGCAACCAGACACCCCTCTCTGACCTGTGGTGTGGCTGCTGGAAGGTTTGCTTGCTTTGGCCCCACAAGTCCCTGGCCGACAGGACAACCTAGGGTCCCCTGTGTGTGGTCCTGTCTTCAGCCCCGAGTGGCTTCTCCTGCCTGGGCCCGAAGTGGCCATCCCCTCTGTGCCCCCTCGGAGCTGAAGCCTCCAGACCGGGACGCCGTGGGAGAGAAGCCGGGTCAGGCTGCTGCTCCCGTGCGTGTGTGCATGTGCGTGTGTGTGTCCGTCCGTGTGTCCGTGAGCCAGGACAGGCAGGCCTGTAGCATGTGGGGGCCCTCCTCCCTGCTCGGCCCTTCCCTGGCTTCTCCACCGAGGTCACAGGATGCCTTGAGCTCCCTTTGCCCCCAGCTCACTGGCAGGAGGACCTTTTCTGGGGAGTGGTGGGGGCAGGAGGAGGGCAGACATGGTGGAAGCGGCCGGGTCAGGCACTGAAGTCTAGTCCGGAATCTGCAGGCCTCAGTCTTCGCTCAGGACAGTGGGCGCCTGCTTCTTGCCCCCAGGGGTTGTGGAGATGGGCTGCGTGGGGCAGCTGCTGTCCCAGGGCTGGCTGTGGACTGTCCCTGAACGGCTGCCACTGTTGTTCATCGCCCATCCCCCCGGGCCCCAGGCGTGGAATTCTCCACTGTCCCCAGGCCCAGCCCCACCCCAAATCAGGACGCCCTCACCGCCCCATTGTTGGTCTCCTGCCCGAGGCTGCGGCCACCCTGGGATCCCCTTGCCCAGCATGGACTGGCCCGTGTGTGGGCATCATTCGTTGGACTCATTAATTAGATGAAGTTCAAGGCCCCCTTCCCTGCCTGGTGCTGAGCTGGGCCTGAGGAAGCCCGTGGAGGGCAGGGACCCAGCCCTCACCATCTGTCCTGGCTGAAGGGGGTCCCCAGGGCTGGGGCAGCTCTGAGCCCTCCTGGGCCACCGTTCTACAGCTTTTGCCACCAAAGCCTGGCTTCTGGAAGCTGGAGGTGGGCCAGCCCCTCTGGGTGCCCAAGGCTGCCCTGTGGTTCCGCGTTCCCCGCCGACTTCCCCGCCGACCCTCTGTGGGAAGCACTTTCTCTGAGGACCTGCCTCTGGGAGCGGAGCCGCAGAGCCACGTCGGCCGTCACTCCTTCCTGGTGTGAGCTTCTGGAGAGAGCAGCCTTCCCTGAGGAAGGAGGGATCCCACTCCGGGAGGTGTGGACCTGCCTGGGTGGGAGACAGCTTGGACCTGCCCCTCCCAGCTCTGAGTTCCCTGAAGGGTCCCTTCCTCTGCCTGGGTGGGAAGACCCTGCCCCGTGGGACAGTTCACCCCGATTTGGGTGGGCAGCCCAAGCCGCACAGGGCCCTGGGGGCGGTCGCTGGGGCCCGGGTGGGAGGACTCGCACACCTTGTCAGCACTGGATGGGGCCCTGCCCTGAGGAGCTGGGCCGTGTCGGGTGGGGTAGGGTCCGACTCAGCAGACCCTGCTCCCTCCTGCCTGCCCCTCACGCTTCAGGCCAGAGTCTCAGGCTTGAGGATCTGTGCGCCCTGAGAGTGGGGGCATCTGTGTGTAGGGGATTTTCTGGGTCTAAGCTCTGGAGTTTTCATGAGTTTCTCAGAGGAGACGTGAGCCACAGGAAAGGCCTGGGCCTCCCTGTTGGGGATGTGGTCCGGGCAGGTCCATGGGGGATCCCTGGATCGGGTGTGACTCCATGCCTGAGGGGAGCTGGGGGCCGTTCCTGCTTCTAGGGTCTCCCCTCCGCGGAGTTTCTCGGTGGCTAAATGTGGGAGTGGAAACGTGCCCGCTGCTCAGATCTCTGGGAGCCTTGCTGGTGGGGAAACTGAGGCCAGGCAGGGTTGAGTGAGCTCCTGCACTGTCCTGCTCCAGCTGAAAGGGGTCTCCGCCTTGGAGAGGAGAGTGCAGATCACGACCTTTCCGACATGGGAAAGCCACTTTGAGTTGTTGGTATGAAACCGTGTTTAAAACAGGCCGAGGAGGGCTGAGCACGGAGGCCGGGGCTGAGCGTGGAGGCCGGGTCACCGGGCAGCTCACTCTTTGTGATTCCTTCCACTCGGGCGGGCGGAGCCACCAAGCCCTCCCAGTCCTTACATGGCCCCGGCCTCAGGGCTTTCTGTGCTGGGGCTGCTGGGCCCGGTGTGATCTCCTGCTAAGTGTCAGCCAGCTGCCGCCCAGGGTCCCAGGGCCTGCTGCCATCCCCTGCATGGCCTTGGCTAACCCAAGTGGGGTCACACTCTTGGCCTGCACAGGCTGCCTGCTGCCCCCTCTTGCTTGTCTGTCGCCAGTGGGCCACCTGGGGTCGGGGGAGGGGAGGTGGAGCCTCTGCCCTCAGCCTTGGCCCCGAGTGTTGGCCGCTCTGTTCCTTGGTCTGACCGCATTTGAGGGTCGAGTGCGGCTCGGGGAGGTGGCTGGGGTCCCTCTTCTGCTGACGGAGCATTTTGTTCCCAGAAGGAGACGGAGGTCTACGTGGTTCTGTTCTCTGCCTTCAAGTCGCAGAGCTCCGTCCTCGGGGAGGGAGTGTCCACCGAGAACTGGAGAATCTTACAGAAATTTCCCTAAAGGTGGGAACGCCAGGAGGGTCGTGCTTTCCGGAGGGGCCATCCTCAGTGGCCTGGAGACCTCAGGCTCCTTGCAGGATTCCCCACCCTCACCAAGTAGTTTCAGCTGAGATCGGACCATGACAGCACAAGTTGCGTCTAAGCATGGTGTCCTCTGTGTCAGCTGCTAGGCTGTGGAGTCCCCCGTGCTCCTGTGTCCACAGCCCGATGGGGTGGACAGGAAGCTCGGTGCTTGTCAGCCTCCCGGGGCGGAGCAAAAGAATCTCGGCTTTATCAGACATCCGTACAAGCCAGAAATTCCAACTCTGGAGACTCGGGGGGAGTGGACGAGTGATGCGGGCACTGCTGTGGGTCGGGGACCCTCGGACCCCAGGTGCCCAGCCTGTGGTGGGAGGTCCAGCTCCGGTTCTGACAAGACATAAGCCCCAGCGTGTCTTCGAAGAAGCAGATTCCGTCCAGACGTGGTGGAGGGTTTCACGAGGGCGTTTCACAGGTCGTTCAGTTTATATGACTCGCAGGTCTTGGCTGTGCCTCTGTGCGCGGCCGTCACTCAGCGGGCGTCTTCGGTCCCTGCTAGTGAGAGCCACGGGGCGAGCCTCAAGAATGGGCTCCCTAACTGTCCCGTGGAAGGAATGGGGCCTGGGGGACTGAGCTCCTTGGGACATTTTATGGAAGACACCAGCAGGGTCTTGGGTGTGGGGAGGGCAGGCCCCTCATGGGAGAACTTCTGTACAGGACTGGGGGTCACACAGCATGGTTCTGTGGCCTCTGAGTGTCCACGGGGCCTTGGGTAGGGCGGGCGGGGCCGGGGCCGAGACCTGGGGTTCAGGCCCTGTCCTGTTCAAAGGCTCAGGATGCTGCGTGGGCCCTGGGCTGCAGGCTGCTGCCGTTGGAAAGCCAAAGCTTTGAGGGACATTGGTGCCCGACCTCTGGCTATTGGAGATTGCCGCTGCCCTGCACGTGTC